AACTTTTTGTTTTTCTTTTTGTGGGTGGAGTTACTGTGGTTTTACAATCATACCAAATGAATCATGTAACTCTGCTCAAATTAAAAACTTCTGTGTGAATCGGGTTGGTTATATTTGGATTAGTTTCAATTTGAAGATAAAGTTGTTATTTATCTGTTAATCTGCTCATGTAAGATAATCTGGTCTTTAATCTGAGCAAAGGAGGGAAAGACGAACAAGTTCAAGTGAAACGTTACATTTCAGCAATAAGGATGTTTAAAGTGATTAAAACTTAGTATGAAAATAAAACATTATCTTAACATTATTATTATAATAATGTTTTATTATGATGTAATAATAAATCATATCGATAAAACTAGGAGAAGAACTAGAAAGTTGTAATCCAGACCAGAATTAATCCAAGCAGAATAAATGTCATGTTTCTCTGGGTTAGCCTACCTCACGTCTGGACCAGAACCAGAACCAGCTCTCCGTTTGAAGGATCCGGATCCACTGGGTCTGCTGAGCCAGCAGAACCAGCAGAGTCGGGTCAGACCGTGAAGAACTCCTCGCTCTGCTTCAGCCACTCAGCATCCAAACACAAACATTTCTTTCTGGAACCTTTTTCTGTTTTTCCGCTTCAATCTGGTTGAAGCCGTTCTGCTTCTTCTTCTGTGGTTCCGTCCCGTTACTCAGATTTTCCGTTCTCCTCCAGCTGCGGTTTTCCCGCAGCAGCTGTCTCCTCCTTCAGTCGTAAAGTTGTTGTGCAACATCATCGTGTCGCTTCCTGCTCTCAGACAGAGAGGAAATAGTTACAGTTACTGGAGTAACTTCTTTGGAAAGTTTACTTTTAGGAGTATTTTTACTACACCTGCAGTTTTTGTTAGTTTCATAAATGTTTTGTCTAAAGAAACTGATTTCATTTAGGATGTTAATTAATGTTAATTTGCCTGATTTTATTATTTTTTATTACTTCTACAAATTATTGTCATTTTGGTCTTTAAAAATACTGAAATTTCCACTTCACTTTATATTTGGTTCATCTGATGATGTCAGGTTCTGTGTTTAATTCTGAGTTTCTGTGTCCTGAGTCTCCTCGTTGTCCTGTCTTCCCCTTGATTGTTCCCAGGTGTCTCTCGTTCCCTTGATTACCCTCTGTGTATTTAGTCCCTCCTGTGTCCTTTGTTCCTCGTCGGGTCCTGTCGTCATCGTATTGTTGTCAGATTGTCGTTGTTGTTTTTTGTGCCGCCCTTAAGACCAGTTGCTACTGGTGTGAGCCCTGGCTTCTGCTCAGCCGTGCTGCCTGGCCGCGGACTGTTGTTTGGACTGTTTTTCTGGACTGTTTCATTAAAATTAGTCACTATTCACATTACTTGGGTCTCCAGCGCTTGCCTCACCAACTCACCTCCACCACCACTCCATGACAGATGATGCAATTTATAAATATTAAAATATGATCATTTGACCAGTAACTCAATACTTTTTTATTCTTCTTGAGTAAAATATGTTGAGATATTTCTACTCTCATTCTTAATATTTGTAGCTTTTTCTGGTTGAATCTCGTTACAAATTAATTTGGTTTTATGATAAAATAAAAGGAAAAAATCACCAGAACCAAAGAGAGGATCAGACTCTGGATCTTTGTTTTTCTGCAGGGAAACATCCGACCCAAACCGGTTCCTGAAGGTTTATGAACATTGAAACTAAATATAACAGATGAACAAAGTCTGACAGACGGTGAAACGCCCGGCTGATGGATTAACACTCTGATCAATTTCTGTTTTTAATAATCTGTATGAATCTGAACTGATTCTGATGAAATCTGGGAAAAATAAATCATGAGACACAAGAGATACTTCATATACATCAGTCACATTCGTGACTTTTTGAAACAATTTAAAACAAATCATGATTTAAACACATTTCCTAACAGTTCATACAATTTGTCATCATTAAAATGTTCCTAAACATTTGAATTGATGAATTAAAGAGAGACGATGTGCTTCTCTGGGAACATTAAACATGAGGATATGATTCCATAAGAAAATACTAAAATATTATTATCTGAAAAACATAAAGCAAATGAGGAAAAAATTACTTCAACATTTCAAATCATTAATTTTTCTATGACTGGTACAATAAAACAGAAAACAAAAAATGACAAGACGTTTAAAATTATGTTAATATGATTATAATAATAATTGAGGATAAAATGCATTGAGTGGATGTTTATTCATCCTCAGCAGCACAAAAACATAAAGACATTATTAAATTCATCAATAAAAAAACAGTCAGGATTTATTTTCTGCAATAAATAAAATAAAGAATTGCAGATTAAAGACTAAAATCATAAAGTATTAACAGAAAAATAATCTGAATGTTTATATAAACTTACATGTAGAGATGATCAAACTTTACTGCATCATAAAAACAGTTCTGAAAATCTAAATATCTGATCAGGTGATCAGAAATTAAAAAAAATCAAATCAATTTGATTTGTTTAGCACATTTCAGCATTTCAAAGTGCTTTACATAATAAACACAAAATCATGCAACATAAAATAAACAATAATTGATTACATTTCAAATAAAACTCTAATCAGGTGCGGTTTTAGTGGAGATTTAAAGGAAGTCAGGGTTTCTGCTGTTTTACAGTTTTGTGGAAGTTTGTTCCAAGTTTTTGGTGCACAGATGCTGAAAGCTGCTTCTGCTCTCTTGGTTCTGGTTCTGGGGAATATCTGCTGAAGGCTGAGATCATTTCTACAGGACAAGATGGAAACCTAAATATTTGATTTTTTTAACTTGTCTGTCTGGAGTTTTAATTATTATCTGTGATTATTTATTTATCTGTAATTAAATCCAGATCAATTGTGAAGCACTTTGGTCAATTTGTTGAATGTTTTGCTTCACAGATTAATTTGTCATGAACTCAAACTACAGCAGCACCAGAGACTATAGAGCAAAATCTATGTAACGTTCAAGGTCTTTACAAAAAGCCTTACGACCAAACTTTTTCTCATATGTTTCAAAGGGTTTTTTAAACTTTTTCTTTCCGGAGTCAGTAAAACTTTCCATAACTTTCCTTAACACCTGAACCCAGTTTACATTATCCTGATTACAGTCCTTCAAAGACTGAAGGCGTTCAAAAACAGAAGTTATATCTGTGTTTCTGTGTATTTGACTCATTTGAAACAGAATTGTGTGACTTTTTTCCCATTGCTTCACAGATTGTATCTTATCTTTCAGCTGTTTCTTTGACATTGCAGGGATTTTATCTTTTGTGTAAACAATCATGTGATTTTGGCAGATAACAGCCGGAGATGCTTTTAAATCTGTCTTTAAATCATTGATAAAGACGGTGAAGAGGAGTCGAGCGAAGAAGCTTCCTCTGGGCAAACCACAGGAACCTTCAGGGTAGAAAAGGAAACTTTTTACCAGTTTAAGAGCTGAATCTGAGAAACCAGAGTTTTCCAGTTTTGTGATCAGAACATCATGACTGATGGAGTCAAATGAAGAACTGAAGTCCAGGAACAAACACGAAACTGTTTTTCCTGAATCTGTTGCTCTGAGCCAATCAGATTTTAGTTTTTTGATTTGATCATCAATTGATTCTGAAGCTATCAGTTTCTCATCAATAAAGTGTTTTTCTGCCTGTTTATAGAGAATGATGTCAAAGATAAAACCTATCATAACATGGACGCTGTGAAGACTCATGTTCTCCCTGAACTTGGTCAGTTTTTTGGTTGAAAATGGGATCAAGTCAAACTGTTTGAGCTCAGAAGGAAACACGCTGTCCTCCAGGCAGCGGTTCAGGATGTGACGGATCGGACCAGAGATGGAAGCAGATGAACTGTTCAGCAGTTTAGCATCTGTTTTAGGGATATCAGCATCTTCCACAGCAAGGAGAGACATCAACCATTCATTTCCTCCTTCTTCAGAGATTTTAGAGAAACTGAATTCCTCTGTAGGGTCATTTGAGGTCTGGATTGGAATATTATTAAATTCCTTTTCTTCTCTGAGATAATATAAGTCTGAGGCTACATCTCCTTCCTGAGTTATGTTGATCACATGAGAAGGTAAACTTTCTCCAAAATACTTTTCACATATCTTCAGTATTTTTGTAGGTTCCGTAGCTGTTTTCCGCTCCTCCATGAAACGCTTCTTCTCGTCTTTTATTATGGTATCATAATGTTCTCTAAGATTATTACAATTTTCACATTCAAGTTTTGGTTTACATTCAAAACATTTCACTCCACAGACTTTAGCTGAATTATTGTCAGGTGAAAGATGTTCCTTTTTTAATTCCTCCTGTGTGAGGTGTTTTGATTCATCTCTTTTCAATATTAAGTTCTCCAACTCTTCAGCCAATTTCAGTAAACCATAAATACATTGAGTCTTTAAATGTTTATTTGCTATTAAGAGAAAAATATCAGTGAACTTCTTCAGAGCTTTCAGAGGATCAGATTCATTATGGACGATGGTCCACTGAGTCTCTTTTATATTATCCGTCTCATCCGTCTGGTTTAACCTAAAGCTGCTGATCTTCTTAGGAACATTTCTACTGAGCTTTACAGTAACAAGGTTATGATCACTGCAGCCTGTTGCAATGGATTTTGTTGTTACACCAAAATCCATTGGTATATTTGTATAAATCAGATCGATGCATGATGAGGATTTCCTGGCAACCCTGGTTTTATCCTGAACAATCTGAGTTAATCCCCATTTAGATGAAACATATTGAGCAACATTCTTCTTAGACTGTAAATCCCAGTTAGTGTTAAAGTCGCCCATCAGCAGAATGTCTTTCGTCTCCTTCTCCTTCAACACCAGATCCATTATCTCATAGATTTGAACCAAATGTTTTAGATTATCTGAAGGTCTGTAACAACATCCCAGTAAAACTGGTCGTTCTTCAGGAAGCTTCATCTCAACCCAAATGATCTCAGCTTCAGTCTTCATCAGATCTGATCTCGGTTTAGTTTTAATATGATCCTGGACATACAGAGCGACTCCACCTCCATAACTGTTTCTGTCTTTCCTCCATATCCTGAACCCTGGTATATAAACCTTGCTGTCTTTAACTGAGGCATCGAGTTTAGTTTCACACAGAGCCACAACATGAACCTTATGGCGAGCAATAATGTTTTTCACTTCATAAATTTTTTTTTTCAGACCATCAATGTTCAGCAGACCCAGAGATAAGTATTCCTCCTGTGATGCAGGTGAGGGAGTCGGAGATGATTCTTCATACTTAATGTTTGGAAGTGAGGAACTTCGAGGTCTTTTTCTTTCCATGGTGACGACCTTCTCTCTGTTGTTCCTTAAAGACACAGAAACACTGAGACTTTAAACCAACTTCCTGCTGAAGCTGATATCACATTAAATCTGATAAATATTAAATATTTACAGTTTGATCCTCCTGGATCCTCCAGCTCAACGTCTGACCTTTGACCTTCAGGATGGAGGACGCTCTGACCTCTGAAATCCCAACAATCTGTTTCCTCAGGATCAAACTGGTTTGATGTGGATCAGACTGGTTCTACTGGGTCTGACTGGGAGGAAGTGATGATGAAGACGAAGAGCTGCTGGAAACACAACAGTTTATTGTTGGTTCATTACAGTAAGAATAACTTTATTATTATTCACATTAAAGTAAAAACTCATCGTTAAAAATCGACTCAAGTATTGAGTAACTGATCAGAACCATTGATTAATATTTAAAAACGTCAGACAGAAAATATAAAGCTGTTAAAATTCTAGTATTTTAAGAATAAAATCATAAATAAAACAAATGTTTTAGATAATTTAGATTCTATTTTGTTTAAATGAAAACATGATTTTTCTCCCTTCAGTTACAGTAATGATAAATTATATTAATATGAATCAGGTAGAAATAAAAAGAAAAATAATTTAAATGTAATTTTAAAATATCAATAATGTTAAAAAAAGGTTAAAGGTCATTAATGTTTCTACCAACAAAAATTATAATTTTTCTTACAGTTAAAAGTTTATCATAAACAACAAAATGAAACTGTTTTAAAGTATGAAAGAAATGAGATTTAATATAAATTAAACTGTAACATGAAAAGTGAAATTCCTGGATGTTTCTCAGAATATCCAGGAAATAGACATGAATTTATACCAAACACTAAATTAATAAATTATAAATAATGAGAAATATTTACTCTGTAAAAAATGTCTGTAATTTACACTGTGGTTGGCAGAATTTTACAGTGTAAATTCAGTAAATTAAAGACATTTTTACATATAAATAAATAGATATTGAAACATTTAAAACTGCTTGTATCAACTTAAACTGAAGAAATATTGGCAGTTTGATCCAATCCAACAACTGTTATAATGTTCGGATATAACTTTCTGTTAAATCTGTAAAAGTTTCCTCTCACCTCTCAGGTCGATGTGAATCAATCGTTGAATCAATAGTTGAATCAATCGCAGATGGATCTCTTTCTGTTTCTCTGCTGAACTTCAGCCTTTATATTCTGGCTGGTCTGGGATCCCGGCCCAGTTCCTCCTCCTGGACCCGGATGATTCTCTTTATCTCTCGTTCCAGTCAGCAGTCAGAACTTCCTGTTCATCAGCTGTTCATGTCGGACCTGTTCTGGTCCAGGTGAGGCCACACCTGAGAAGGCATGCTGGGTATTCAGCAGGAACGTCAACAACATGTCAACCAGAACCGAGGAGACAGAAGAACATGTGGTGATGACTGACAGCTGGAACATTTGATCCGATTTATTTTCTGTTTCCTGAATGTGGACAGGCTGGTCGGCTGAGACTGAACAGCTGCTGGGTTCGGTGGAGGACCTGTGATGCTGTGGGCCTGATTCTGTTTCATCTATGCATGAAGCTCAGCTGCTCAGAATCTAAACCACAGAGAAGAACTGAGCTTCATTTGAGGAACAATTTCTACTTTTACTGGATCAAATTCTGGATTTTCTGACTGAAACAGAAACATGAAGCAGAAACTGAGCAGCAGTTTGTTAAACTTTCATCAGTTTTTACTGAAGGAAAAATTATTTTGGCTGATTTTGTTATTTTTGTTAATTATTTGAATTATTTCCATTTTTATCCTTAAAATTTCCACATAACTTTAAATTTTGCAGCACTGGATTCTTGCTGCAACCTTCTTGCCTTGCAGCAAGAAGGTTGTAGGTTCGATTCCTGGTCTTTCTGCATGTTCTGTTTGATTTTTTAATATCAAATGATGATAATTTCATCAGTTTCTCAGTATAAAATACTAAATATATTTAATATTTTTTCAATTGAATAATTTGTCCTAACCTGAGTAATAACATGTTGAATTATTGCTGATCTTCAGGATCATTTCTGGTTTCCTGCCCTCTGATTGGTGGATCAGTGATTCAGATTATTGATGAAAGTTTTTCTGCTTTATAAACAATAAAAATGTATTTCATATCAATAAGTTTCATTTTCCATTGAAACTCTTACAGTAAAAGCGTGTTGAGTCTGCTGCCCCCTGCTGGTGGAGGGTTAAATCACCACATGGTGTTTCTGTTCCTGCTTTAATCTCTTTATAATTTTTATATTTTTTATTTTATTGCAGGAGGACTGATGGATTCTCCTGAGGAGCCAAACTAGAAGCCAGTAAAATCCACAGATGTTACCATATAAACATGTTCACACAAATGATGGGAACATGAAGCTCATCATTTGAACTTCATTCATAAACTGGATGAAGTTCAGTAGGAGGAAACGGATCAGATTCATCTCAACAGTAAAACTTTAACTCTTTAATTCTTTTTCTGTTTGGGTTTTTAGTTTTTTAGTTTTTTGGTTCTTGTAGTTTGAAGAGATTTGTGTTCCGGTTTCTCCTACATCTCCCAGAATGCACCTGGACATGTCCAATAAACCACACAGAGGGAAACAAGCTGACTGCTGGAGAAGCGACTTCCTGTTTTCCGTGCAGAGTGTTATCTGATTGGCTGAGAGGAATAGGCCCCGCCCCCTCCTCAGGTTCCCTCCCAGTTAGACTTTTGACCCACTTCTCCCAGTATCACTCTGGTTCTGTGCGCTGGTTTGGTTCGGTTCCGACCAGGAGCGGCTCATAAACACACTGAATGTATGGAAGCCCGTTAGTGCCAAAATACTAACAGAAGAAAACTTTTAGTAAAGAAAATAAACTTTTCAAACTCTGTTAATTCAGTTTTAAGTAGGAATTGTTTTTCTTTTTTCATCATAAAAGCAGAATCTGATCCGAACCTGATCCGAACCTGATCGGTCCAGGTGGAAAGTAAATTAAACTTTTCAGTAAAGCTGAATCTATTTTATGAATCTGATTGATTACAGTAGAAAACTTTCCAATGGTATTTTATTTTATTCAGTTTAGATTCTTTCCACAAGTTAAACACACAAAATGCTGGAAAATGAAACAAATACAGAAATAAAAAATATTTAAATCCTGTTAATGGAAAGAACATGAAGTTTTAACCATAATGTTTGGAAGAATAAAATTTTTATACCTTCACTTTTCATTGATAGACGCAGCATTATTGAATTTAAAACCGCAGAGTATTTTTCTAAGACATAAATGCTGCCTTCCAGCCTCTGGCGTCATCTAGTGGATGATGAGGGAAATAGCAGACTGATGGAAAATCCACACAGAGCAAAAAGCCAGTTCTCAACACATTGAGTAAAAAATTATTAAAAAAAGAAACATAAATTTACCAATAGTTGAAGTCGGGATCTTTGGATCAAGAGGAAAATGTCTTAAATGTCAACATGAATGGTTCCCCATACATGGATGGATGGATGGATGGATGGATGGATGGATGGATGGATGGATGGATGGATGGATGGATGGATGGATGAATCAATTTTCTTTATTCCATTTTAAATCTTCTCTCTTTCTTAATCATTTTTATTTAATTGGCAGATTTGGTAAATTGGCCTCAGCTTTATTTTTGACCCTTCTGGTCTTCCATACAGCTGCTGACCCGCCCTCTGCTGTACAGACTGGAGGGGCAGAAACATCTGGAGCAGCTGCTGGTTTCTGAGTTCTGCTCTGCGACCAGGTGAGAATCTGCTGTCTCTCTGTCTGTCTGTCTGTCTGTCTGTCTGTCTGTCTGTTCTGGGGATCTTTTCAGTTAATGCAGCTTCAGGCTGATCTGCAGCAGGAACAGAACCTTTTTGGATCAGAACTTCTCGGTCAGGACTTTTGATCTGAATTTACTTTCAGTTTGTTTCTGATCAGGCAGCGAAAGGCCAACCCTGATCTGGTTCATCAGACGTTTATTTGACACTTTGACTCATTTTCTGCAGTTTCTCTGACGTCAGAAACCTGAACTGAGTTTGGTTTGGTTCTGAACTTCTGGTCCGAACCGGTTCAGTCCAGCAGATCCGCTTCAGAGTTTCTTTACTTTATTGATCCAGAAAAGCTTTGACTTTATCTCAGAGTCTGACTGCAGCTTCACTTTTCCTCTGCTGGTCTTTGGACTCAGCAGCTTCTGGTTTGATGATTAAAATGTTGAAATATGAGCTGATTAAATATAAAAACTGGTTAAATATAAAAACTGATTAAAACAGGAGCAGCTTTCCTGATCAACTTCAGCCTGAATCATCAGCAGCTCTGAGCTCAGACTTCAGGGATTCCAGGCGATTAATCGAGTTTCTCTCTCTGCTCTTGCAGCCATGTTGTCTCTGGCGTCGCGGTCGCTTCGCCTCAGCGTTGCTGGTTGCCGTTCCTTAGCAACGGTTATTTCCGGCAACAAGACGTCCAAGTAAGTTACTGGAGCAACAACCATAAATCAGGAAGAAAAGGTTTTGTTTCTTAACCTGAACTTTTACTCTGAAACCTGCAAAGCTGGAGAAGAAAAAATCTGCAGATCAAATGTAAAATATAAGTTTATTAAACTTTCTGCTTCCAGTGGATTAAAGTTTATTTCTGTTAAAACATCAACAAACATTAAATCAGCAGCTGCAAAGTAAACCTCAACGTTAAACCCGTCAAAAATGCAACTTTAGGTTTTATAATCACCTCAAATATTTACAAAAACTCACAGAGCATTTAAAATGCAACAGAATCATTTTATCCAGCAACAGAATCATTTTATCCAGCAACAGAATCATTTTATCCAGCAACAGAATCACTTTATCCAGCAACAGAATCACTTTATCCAGCAACAGAATCATTTTATCCAGCAACAGAATCATTTTATCCAGCAACAGAATCATTTTATCCAGCAACAGAATCACTTTATCCAGCAACAGAATCATTTTATCCAGCAACAGAATCATTTTACCCAGCAACAGAATCATTTTATCCAGCAACAGAATCACTTTATCCAGAAACAGAATCACTTTATCCAGCAACAGAATCATTTTATCCAGCAACAGAATCATTTTATCCAGCAACAGAATCACTTTATCCAGAAACAGAATCATTTTATCCAGCAACAGAATCATTTTATCCAGCAACAGAATCATTTTATCCAGCAACAGAATCATTTTACCCAGCAACAGAATCATTTTATCCAGCAACAGAATCATTTTATCCAGAAACAGAATCACTTTATCCAGCAACAGAATCATTTTATCCAGCAACAGAATCATTTTACCCAGCAACAGAATCATTTTATCCAGCAACAGAATCACTTTATCCAGAAACAGAATCACTTTATCCAGCAACAGAATCATTTTATCCAGCAACAGAATCATTTTATCCAGCAACAGAATCATTTTATCCAGCAGCAGAATCATTTTATCCAGCAACAGAATCATTTTATCCAGCAACAGAATCATTTTATCCAGCAACAGAAACTTCAGGCTCTTTGAACTGAAAAGTTGCACAAAGTTCAGTTTGACTTTTTTTCAGCTTCACGTTTGAGTTAAATCACTAGTTGATCATATTTGTGGACATCAATATTATAAGTTAAACTGATTATTAACGGATCGGCTTTGTATCACCTGGTAAATTACTTTATATTTTTATACAGTTCTCACCGTTTATTTCTCATCTCCTTGGAAAAATTAGTTTTGTGACATGAATGCATCGAGACGACATGATGCGTAAAGTTATAGGACATAATCGACTAGTTCATCATCAATCACTTTAGAGAAGTACTGCAGCAGATCTACAGTAGAATGGCTGACAATATGTAACAGTCTAGTCAAAGCCCAGAGCTCAGCAGGAATAAATGGGACCAGAAATGAGCAGGAACCAATGTCTGCAGAAATTAGAGAAGCAACTTGGACCAAACCGCCTCCAAGAAACTTCTGAGTCACTTCAGCTGCTGGTTCTACTGCTGCCGGGCCGGTTCGGCCCGCTGGGTTCGGATCGGGTCGGGGCTTCACTTCCCCCTGACTGTAGCGCCACCTGCAGGTCAGAGGCTGATCCTGGACCTGTGTGCAGGTTGGTGAGGGAGCGGCTGAAGAACGACGTGGAGAAGATGAGGAACCGGTTCTCTGGGTTCAGACCCGGTCTGGTGGTTCTGCAGGTGAGACATCTGAGTCTGGTAACAGAACCGGTCCGGTTTGAACCGGCCAGAACCAACTGGGTTTACAGCAGCTGGTTCTGCTCTCAGACCCGGATCAGTAGGACCGACCAGAACCTGCAGCGGTCCAGTCAAAGATCAGCTGCAGGTTAATCACTAACCTGTGTGTGTGTGTGTGTGTGTGTGTGTGTGTGTGTGTGTGTGTGTGTGTGTGTGTGTGTGTGTGTGTGTCTGTGTGTGTGTGTGTGTGTGGTGTGTGTGTGTGTGTGTGTGTGTGTGTGTGTGTGTGTGTTTGTGTGTGTGTGTTTTCCAGGTGGGAGACAGAGAGGACTCGAACCTCTACATCAGCACCAAACTGAAAGCTGCAGCCGAGGTGAGAAGAAACGGATCAGTTCGGTTCGGTTTAGTTCGGTTTAGTTCGGTTCGGTTCGGTTCGGTTCGGTTCGGTGAAACTAAATCCACAAAACGACCCAGAATAATCTCTGCTTCTTCAGATCTCAACGATTTAACTGATTAACTAAAACATTTGTTGACAATTTTTAGTCTCAACTCAAAAGTAGAATAAATGAGAATATGAAAAATATCAAATTTATGTCAGAAAAATGTTTTTTATCATATTTTATGTTGAACTTTAATATATAAATTCTGCTGTTCGACCACTAGAGGGCGCTCAGCTGGTTGCCTGGGGAAACGGGAAGAAGCAGAAATCATGTCAGATCTCTGAAAACTTTTATGAATATTTCAGGGTTAAAATTTGACCTGAGAATCTTTAAATGTTGATTTGGATGTTCTTAAACATATTTACGTTTTTTCCCTGCAGATCGGAATCGAAGCCAAACACATCCGGCTGCCGAGGTCGGCGACTCAGGAAGAGGTCAGAGGTCGCCCGTATTGGTGACCCCTGCGGTCAGGAGATGGTGACGACTTCCTGTCGCCCTGCAGGTTCTGCAGAGCATCATGGCGGTCAACCAGAACCCGGCGGTCCACGGCCTGATCGTCCAGCTGCCTCTAGACTCCGCCCACAAGATGGACACCGAGCTCATCACCAACGCCGTGTCCCCCGACAAGGACGTGGACGGGTCGGTTCTGACCCCGTTCTGACCTCCAGCTCCACTGGACCCCTCCCATTGACCCCGCACTCCTTATGATCCACCAATCACACGGGGCTTCAGGTTAATTGGTTAACAAGCGTTAGCTAACTTCTGTTTCCTGTTCCTCCAGGCTGAGCTGCATCAATGCAGGAAAATTGTCTCGAGGTGACCTGAGCAACTGCTTCATCCCCTGCACCCCCAACGGCTGCATGGAGCTCATCCGGCAGACAGGTGGCGCCACGCACACACTCAGTCAGGCTAATGAAGAAAAGAAACAAACTGACAACCTGAATGAACATAAAACAATGATTTCAAATGAAAATGTTTATGAAGTGAATAAACTCCACACCAAGTCTGAGAAAAAGTATTCACACCCTCTACCTGATGACTGGATGTTTCTTCCACTGAGCCAATTAGATAGCGTTAGCATGATGGCTGCTAATGAGTATTTAGCATCACAGTGGAGGAAGACTGACGCTCTCTGCTCTGCAGAGTTGATTTAAATCAGACACATTGTGTTCAGTCTTTCTACAACATCTCAGTCAGATTCTGGGTTTTGACTAGACCACTTCAAAACTCTGTTTTTGCAAACATTTCATATTTAAACTCAGATGTTCTAGAACTGGCAGACCTTCTTCTTCTAGAGTTTCAGCTTTTCTTAAATTACATTATAATAAAAATCATAATTATTATAAAATCTTTGTTATTTATTCACTGATAAGAACGTTTGTTCTGCACTTCCTGTCTTTTAAAGAGACAGAATCGTCCAATAGCTGGAATTTATTTTGTCATGTGACTTCAGGGAAGCCATGTTTAATCTTTCGTCCCATGATGTCACTTCCTGTTTCAGGCGTGTCAGTGGCAGGTAAACACGCCGTCGTCATCGGTCGCAGTAAGATCGTCGGCGCTCCGATGCACGACCTGCTGCTGTGGCGTCACGCCACCGTGACCACCTGCCACTCCAAGACCCAAGACCTACCTGAGCAGGTGAGTCACAGACACCGTCCGACAGACCGCCGTCCGGCAGACCGCCGTCGACAGACCGACGTCGACAGACCGCCGGCTCTAACCCCGCCCTGTCCAGGTGGGCCGGGCCGACATCCTGGTGGTGGGGGCGGGCCGAGCGGAGATGGTGAGGGGGGAGTGGCTGAAGGTCGGCGCCGTGGTGATCGACTGCGGGATCAATCACCTTCCAGGTTCAGTAGATCCACTTCCTGTGCAGCTCTGTGGGGTGAACAGAGCCTGACCTTTGACCTCTTCCAGATGAGACCAAAGCCAGCGGTAAGCGGGTGGTTGGTGACGTTCACTACGCCTCAGCCAATCAGAGAGCAGGATTCATTACACCTGTTCCTGGAGGGGTGGGGCCGATGACGGTGGCCATGCTGATGGAGGTTAATATTCATAATCTTTACTTTTAATTTACATTTTAATTACATTTTAATGAATAATTTCATAATAAAATACATCAAATTTGTCTGAAAACTCAGATTTAATCAATAAGAAAATTTTATTTCTGATTCTAATTTAATTTAATTTTTTCACAGTGAGACAAATTTCACAGTATAAATCAGAATAAACGAATTTATTAGATTTAAATAAAGTCACTATTTAATTTAGTTTGAATAAAAATTAAATACAAAATAGATATTATTGTACGATTAGTATTTATCTATATACTATTACAAATACTTATTTAATTCATTATTTAACAAATAAATAAGTTGTATAGTTGTATTATGTATCATTATTAATTAATTACTTATATTCAAATTATTAATGCAGTAATATTTAATATGTTCTGATTAAATTAAGTTAAATCAGTTCATTCTCATTCAGTCCAACAGATTTAAACAGATTTAAATTATTATTTTCCTGGTTGAATAATTTTTACACATAAATCTGTTTTATTTTGTGGCTATTATCAAATATCTGATGTCCAGTCAGTATTTCTGTGTCCTGCTCTGTTTTTGACATATTTAGTGAATATTTTCATCCTGTTTTTGTGAGATTCTTCATGTGTTTCATTTCAGAACACGGTCCAAAGCGCTCAGCGTTTCCTCCGCAGCTGAAAATCTGACAGGTAAAGAAAATCCTTCACATTCTGAATTTAAAACTAAAATTATTTCAGTTTAGTTTCAACTCATCTGTTTTCCTGCAGCTCAAACTGAGATGAGAACCAGATTCAGACCAAAGTTTGTTTTATAATAAATCATTTATTTTATGATTCCAGCCTGTTTGATGTTAAAGTTTTTCTGTTTTGTTGTTTTTCTTTATCTTTTTTTTATCTGAAAGTTTCCAACCTGCAGCTTAAATCTGTTCAACCATCAGGAAGAAATTATGATCAAAATGTTTACAGTAAATAAAACAACAAAACCTCAGAGCTGAGATTCATTCAGCAGATATCAGTAGTCAGTATGTTACCTAACCACTAGTTTCAGCTTTTATTTTTTTATTTCTAAACTTTCATCAGTTTAGTTTTATAATTTGGTTTATTTATCTTAAGATATTTTCTTATTAAAAGTAACTTGTTCTCCTCTACCGTCGCCACGGCTTCTTAAGATGCACCTAAATACGTTTTCTTAATAAAATCAAATAAATTTAAAATCAAAGATTGTTTAATAAATAACAGCTGTTATTATTAATGTGTTAAATGAAGTGAATTTCTCCTGTGATTCACAGTTTGAAGCAGTTAAAACTGTGGATTCATTTAAAACTAAAACCTTTAATAATCCAAAGCGGCTCTGATTTCATTCATCTGAAATCATTTTGTTTCTGTTGTTCCAGGTTATGATTCGTTCATAAACATTTACAAACAGCATTAAAGCGAGCGTCTCCAGCTGAGCCTGAGGAATGATTGATGATTGATCGGCTGATTGATCGGTTGATTGATCGGTTGATTGATCGGCTGATTGATCGGTTGATTGATCGGTGACCTTCAGGGCTGCAGATCAATATTCTGAAACGTGAAACATCTGAACTCTAAAAAGTTTTAAAATGTTTCAGTTTCATCCAAAGTGATGGAAACAGAATCTATAGATCAAATTTTATCTTTTATTTTTAAATGTTTTTAGTTCATATTTCTATTAACTTTCTGCATAAATAAAATATTTCCCTTCTGATTAACATGCAGGATTATTTCATAAACTTCAAACATCTGAAGAAGAAAAATTAAACATCAAAGCTAAAAATCTTTTTCCACTTTTGGGCTCTTTTGTCTCGCGACTCTTTGTGCAGCAGAAACCGAACCCTGAACTCACCACACACTGAAACACGGTGGTGGCAGCATCATGCTCTGGTAACACATCAGTCCGTATTCACAGCAGCTTGGCAGCAGATTCTGGTTTAATGTTGGAGAAACGTGAAAATATTAGCAGACTTTGTACAGAAAGAGCATCGTCATGTTTTGGCGCGTTTCCATGGAGACCAGGTGGGTTTCTGCCGCGGGTCGGAGTTCGGACCCCCGGGCCGGTTCGGCTCATCAGAGCGCCTTATCAACTGCAGGAAGTTTTCTTTAAACAGAAACTTCTGCAACGAGCTGAGAGAGAAACTCTGAGAAACAGAACTGAAGAAAAACTGGATCCGGGTTTTTTTCCTTCCAGTGGATTTTCCTGAAGTTTCTACATCCAGCAACCAGAATGTGACAAAATCCAAACTCTGAGTCAGGAATACAAACTGAACTGTTTATTATTTTAACATTAATTATCTGACATTTGATCATAATAATATGCTTCATATTCCTTTGTGTTTGGATCATTTCCTCATTCCTGTCATTATTTGGTTTAATCCTTATTTGTGCATTTAGAAATAAGTTCCTTTGATTAACTGATCAAATAAATAATGTTATTGATAAATAACTATAAAACAAACCATCAAATAAAATATTTTACTGGAAGTTTATGTTATTTATTTATACTTTTTTTTATTTAGAAATGCCACCTGTCATTTGAATAAGAACATAAAATAAAAAAACATGAAATGTAAATTAAAACTAAAAGTTCTAATAATAGTTCTCGTTTATGTCATTCTTCATTTCTTTGTTCTAAAAAGCTCTGATTTCATTTTTCTGCTCTTTTCTTCGTTTCCTCTTTTCCTGCTGCTCTTCGTCTCAAAACTTTTATTTATAAAACCTCAAACAGACAACTCTTAGCGGTGGATCACTCGGTTCGTGCGTCGATGAAGAACGCAGCTAGCTGCGAGAACTAATGTGATTTGCAGGACACATTAGTGTTCAGTTCAGTTTTAATCCATTATCCTTTACTACATAGTAATAGAAATGTTTAAAAGTAAAGTATAAATTACAAAATTCTCAGAACAGGAAGCGCTTTTATTTTGATAATCCCATCAGGAAGTGTTGCTGAAATGCAGCAGCTAGCTTAGCAGAGCTCAGTTATGCTGGATAAACATTCATGTTGTCGTCATTGTGAGGCTCCATGAACTCGTAAATGTGTTTGTTTCAGTAGCGCTAACGCTCAGCTAAGTGTTTGTTTCAGTAGCGCTAACACTAAGCTAAGTGTTTGTTTCAGTAGCTCTAACGCTAAGCTAAGTGTTTGTTTCAGTAGCGCTAACACTAAGCTAAGTGTTGTTTCAGTAGCGCTAATGCTAATGCTAAGCTAAGTGTTTAGTTCAGTAGCGCTAATGCTAAGCTAAGTGTTTGTTTCAGTAGCGCTAATGCTAACGCTGAGCTAAGTGTTTGTTTCAGTAGCGCTAATGCTAACACTAAGCTTAGTGTTTTCTAGAGCTAGCCTTAGCGTTCACCTGGAAACCGGCGGCTCCAGGTGGGCGGAGCCTCCGTTGCCACGCTGCTCTCGGGTCAGCTGATCCACGGCGGCGGCCATGACGGTTCTGACCAGCGACCCGGCCGCCTGCAGCAGCTGCCGCTCGCTGGGGTCAGAGCAGGTCAGGTGGAGGAGATGGCAGTCTGCGGAGGCCACGCCCACCCAGCCTTCCTCCTCCTCTTCCTCCTGGGCGGAGTCATCCGGAGGACAGAGCTGGATCCGGATCGACGTCTGGACCGTTTTATCCTCTGGGGGGAACTGGAACTGATTATGGAGGTCCACAACAAGTTCTGAGTCAAACAGAACCTCGTCCTCTTCTGATGACACGTCCCGCACCAGAACCTGGTTTAGATGGACCACTGAAGGTGGTCCATCTTCAGGATCCACCTTCTCTGCTGTAGGTTCCAGTTCTCCGGGTAAACGACCCGCCTGAGAGCAGAACATCTGGACCTGCGGAAGACCTTCAGGAGTCTGGGAGAATCCAGAGGCACACAGTTCTGATTCCGGCCCGGTGTCCTCCACGTGTCCCAGTGGGACGGATCGTCTCCTTCCCGCTCTGATGAAGAACTTCTTCAGTTTAGTCCGGAACCACGGAGAAGATTTCTTCCTGAGAGGAACGAATCTCCTCAAAACGTTTCCCATCTTCCTCGTCTCTCCGTGTCTCTGCAGCGCCCCCTCTGGTGGACCGGCCTCACCGTCCTCCTGTCTCTGCAGCGCCCCCTCTGGTGGACCGGCCTCACCGTCCTCCTGTCTCTGCAGCGCCCCCTCTGGTGGACCGGCCTCACTGTCCTCCTGTGTCTGCAGCGCCCCCTCTGGTGGACCGGCCTCACCGTCCTCCTGTCTCTGCAGCGCCCCCTCTGGTGGACTCGCCCCACTGTCCTCCTGTCTCTGCAGCGCCCCCTCTGGTGGACTCGCCTCACTGTCCTCCTGTCTCCTGATGCAGTCCACTGCTGAGGACAAGCCGCTCCACCACCTGCGTCTCCTCTTCCCTGCAGCGCTCTGGCGCCCCCTGCAGGTCTGTTTGTCGCTCCCAGCTGATGTTTGCTCCTCGTTTCCAGACGGTTCTGGTTTGGTTTCCTCTCCGGTGCTCCTGGTTCTGGTTCTTCCGAGCAGGAGCCTCGGCGGACCCGTCGGCTTCCTCTTCGGTTCTCCTCGCTCTCTGTCCTCGGCGGCCATGTTGGGTTGCTCTCTGTCCTCGGCGGCCATGTTGGATCTCCCTGTCGCCGTTAGCTGAGATGAACCATCAGCTGCTGAGATTAAACTCCTGAGAAGCTGCAGACAAACATCCAGACGACAGTCATGGTGATTTATGAGCGACGAGGCGGCGGCAGATATTAAACCGAGACTCACAGAGAGTCAACTGGCAACTGGGAGCAGCAACATGAAAACGATCAACAGATTAACAGCAACTCTTATAAAACCTGTGAAACAGAGAAAACCAAACCGAATCCAGATTCAGATTTTTCTGCATCAGTCAGTTATTTTCACAGTATTTCTTGGCATCTTTAGCTGAATTTCTATTAAATTTAAAATTACATAATTTGATATTCAGAAAATAAATTCATTCAGGGAAACGCGCCAATCTAAAAAAAACTTTTATTATATCAAGATTTTTAAATTCACACGAGTCACATAATCAATAAGATTTTACTACTGCAGGAAATGATGAAGACAGGAAGTGGTAGAAGACTGAAGTCACTTCCTGCCTGAAGCGTTAAATCTAATCAGATATGATGAGTATAAAAAATAACAAACTGATTATTACATCAAATTTTAAAACATCATCTTTAGTCAAAGGTGACTGATTTAAAAATATTTTGACGTCCAAAGCAGATTTTATTACTTTTAGGTCAATCATAAGGGAGGAAAACAAAACAAACTTTATCAAACTTTATTATTTTCATTGTGAATCTGAGGAATAAAGAGGAAAATCAGAAAAAAACCGGATCAGAACCTGCTGACCCGTCACATCTGCTGCAGCACAAAGTTTCCATGAGAGCTTTTTCTGTTTTTTCCTTAAATCTGAAACTCTGTGCGCCCTGATGATGTCATCAAACACGTGTGATGACGTCATCAGGCATGAGGAGCGATCAGAGAGGAATAAAGCAGAGCCTCACCTGGTTCCGTCCGGATGATCCGATCCGTTTCTCCAACTGAGGGAAGCGCCGAGCTCGCCTCTCCTCCTCCTCATCCTCCTCATCCTCTTCATCCTCCTCCTCATCCTCAGCTGATGATGCTGCTGCATCGCCGCCTCGGTCTCCATGGCAACTGCACTGATTGGCGTTTCACTCCGGCCTGTTGCTCAATAAGCAACGCGGCAGGAAGTGACATCACCTCAGGGGGCGAGGATTTTATTTCCTTCAACGAATTTCTGTCAGATTTCATCAGAAAGTCTCAAAACAAGCAACAAACACACAGACACAAACACACAGACACACAATCACACACACTCTCTCTCTGTAACACACACAGACACACACAATCACACACACACTCACTCACACACACACATCCTCACCCACACACACACACACAATCACACACACTCACTCACAGACACACACACACACACTGTCTCTCTGTAACACACACACAGACACAAACAATCACTCACACTCACTCACACACACACACACACAGGTAAAGAGAGAGAAGCTACATGCATGCACGCAGAGAAAATGAGTAAAATATCAGCATGGAGGCAGCAGCAGGTTCTGCTGCTACAACGTCTGAGGCTCTGAATGTCTGACAGAGACCTGGACTGGACCGGGAACCCGGACCTGGACCCGGACACAGACTGGAGAGAATCCTTTCCTGAGTTTCCTGAAGGACTCAGGAAATTTCTCTGTTCAGATGGAACCAAAACGGAAACAAACTGGTTTTCCTGAATAAAGTGAAGCACGGTGGTGGTAGCATCATGCTGAGGGAGGATGGTCAGCGTTGATGGGAAGATGGAACTAAATTAGGAAAACCTTCAAAAAAGAGACTTGGATTAAACATGCAGGAATTATTAGATCAAAGCAGCTTTATGGGTTAAGATGGCCTAGTCAAAGTCCATCCAGTCTGACTAAAATTAAGATGTTTTAATAAGAAGAAGAGGACAGAGTCACAGGAGCTGAATAATAATAATAATAATAATAATAATAATAATAATAATAATAATAATAATAATAATAGTAATAATAATAATAATAATAATAATAATAATAGTAATAATAATAATAATAATAATAGTAATAATAATAATAATAATAATAATAATAATAATAATAATATAATAATAATAATAATAATAATAATAATAATAATAATAGTAATAGTAATAATAATAATAATAATAATAATAGTAATAAGTTTTCATTTATAGAAGCAGCAGAAAAAAGGATGAAGTTTTTCTTCTCCTGTTTCTCTGACTTCCTGTCACACAGGAAATAAACCCCTGAGCTGTTTCACCGATCAGTGATCGATAATCAGTGATCGATGTGCAGCAGGTCTTCATCCTCCTGATCTATTTTTAAATTGTGAGGAAAAGCAGCAGCTTTTGTTTCTATAGAGATGGAGAGTAAAAATACCCCCATCTGTCCCTAAGCAACAGCGCGGCGACCAATCAGACCCTCCGCCAGGTGAGCGCCACTCACTGAGTCCGGGACGAAAGGGATTCTGGGAAATGGAGGAAAATTTGGACTTCAGGTGAAACGCGCTGGTTTCACCTGCAGACAGGTAGGAACTGATCAGCGCCACCTGCAGGCGAGCAAGATAATGTTTCATTGCATATTGTGACGTTTTTACAACAAAAAACTCAAACAGGATAAAAATGATTTTATTTCTGTCACATTTGAGTGAAAAAGCTTCAAGTTTTCATGTTTTCAGATGAGAAAGTAAATTTACTGAAAAATTAGAGAAACAGGACAAATAATAGTTTAATTCTGTTCATCCTAATTTTAAAGATTAATTATTGAGCAGTTTCTGTTTTAAATGTCTTATTTCTCTAATATTTTTTTAGTTTTCTACTTTTATTCTCCTTAATATTTGGGAATTTAAATGGAATATTTCTGAAGTTCTTTCCAGATGCAAAGGCTCCTGGGAAGCCTGAGCATTGGTTTAGGTAAAACAATATGAATCAGTTATAAAATAAAACGAATAAAATAGTAAAAAATATATATATTAAAATATAACTTCTAGTTATAGTAAGAATTCTGCATTTGTTTGCATGTGTTTATGATCATTTATTTAAAGCTGCTTCTCTTTGAATGTCTGAAATACTTTTCTCATTGCTCTACTACCCCCTGCTGGTCTGAACCTGCCAGTGCAGCCAGAGCTCCGCTGTCATTTCTGGTCATTTTATTTTAAATAAATCACATTTTTAACTAATTTCCATTAAAATAACGAATTTATTTTCTACCGAATCAGCTCCTGAGTAATCGATTGGACGAGGGAGAACTCCCAATTAAAGACCTGCGACGTGATTGGTGAAAAAAGGACATTTATTTGCAAAACATTTCCATCGATGAAAAACAAAACGTGTACAAAACACGTTGACACTGAACTTCTTGTTGTTATGGTGAGACACGGAGAGAAAGACGACAGTCACGCGTTCAGTGACATCATGTGACCTCTGACCCCAGCAGTAGCTTTAAAGGAGCATCCTGGATTTTATTTTTTCTGACTTTAGCTAATCTGAACGGGATTATTGGTTATGAATCAACATGCCTGATCGATTCTGACTCTGCTCTCCTCCAATCAGATCTCTGAAACAGAAACTGATCCCAGACGCAAAAATACCACAAAACGTCTCCATGAGCCTGTAAACATCTGACTGATCTAGCTCTGGTGAAAAGTAAGTACATCCCATAAAATCTGTGCCTTGAATTTTGTCCAATCCAATCAGCTCTCTGGACTTTAACTAGGCCATTGAAACACCTTTATTCATGTTTCCGTTGACGACCCGGTTTGAACCAAACTTCATCGAAAAGAAGCCCACCTATCATGACCCGTCCACCGCTGTGTTTACAACCAGCTGTGTTTACAACCAGCTGTGTTTACAACCAGCTGTGTTCCAGCCTGCTCAGGGTCATGACCTTTAACCTTTTCTTGTAAATGAGGCCTTTAGCAGACCATTGCTCTGATTTCAGGCCCAATTTGCTGAACATTCACTAACAAGCAGATCTCTGACATGGATGATGGACCTCAGAAATTTTGACCTTTGACCTGCAGACATTTTGACCTTTGAACTCTTCCCAGGTTAAAGAGCAGCAACACAGCCTCAGATGCTGATTTTGATCCGTTCTGAGAAACGACCAGAAAACGAGAAAAATACCTAAATGGATCCATGACTGACTGAAGATGTTCTAAGATGTTGTTTGTGTCGCTACAGCGACTTTAGCCTTGAAACCAAACATAAGCTAGCTAAGCTATTAGCCTTAGCTATAAGTATTAGTTATAGCTCCTGGTTTTGGCTAATGTTGCTAGCTAGATTTAACACCATTAACTAGCGAAAGCAACATTAGCCACAGTTAATATCATTAAGTTGAGCTAACAACATTAGCTAAAGCTAACGCTCCAGTTCAAATCAAAGGGCCTGAACATTACTCAACGTTTCTGTTCTGTCTGGTTGGAGCTAGCATCATAGCACCTAGCTCAGTATATGTCATCTACCCAGAATGCATTGCAGTGTAAACAACAAGATGAAGTCAGTGTGACAATATTCAGTGTTCTTTTACTAAATTCTGTTGTCAGAACTGACGGGGTGTACTTTCTTTCCAGCAGGATGCCCCGCTCCAGATGTGAGAGCTGATTGGTCAAAAAGCTGCAGATTGTCATGAAGCTTGGAGCTGCCAGGCGGCCGAAGGTCATCAAGGCACGGCTGTCTGCTGATGAAGAGCTGCGGCCCAGCATCCTCTTCCTCACAAGCCGACGCTCTTCATCGCTCTTCCAGGATGAGGGTGACGTCATCATCATCAGTAGGAGCGTTCCACAAAGTTCAACACAAACCAGAGAGAAACTGGGAGAATGACTGGTTTACTCACACACACACACACACACACCTGCACAGGTACTCAGTCCCCAATGATGACATCATCATCACTCGACGGGGACACCGTCCACGCTCTCCTGGGACACCTCTGAGTCCAGCGAGTAGCAGGAGCTGCCGTTGTCCTGTGTGTCCCGGTTGCCGTCCTCGCAGAGCGCGGCCGAGGCCCCGCCCCCTCCGCCCGGCTCGCCGGCGGCGGCGGCGTCGCAGAAGTGGGCGGAGCCCTGGAAGAGCTGGCTGCAGAGGCGGTTGTATCGGTGGAAGCGGCCCGGCTTGCCGGTGTGGCTGTACATGTGTTCCTGCAGCTGGCTCTTGTGGGAGAAGCGCAGGCTGCAGACGGCACAGGCGATCTTTCGCTTGCGGGAGTGGAGCACGGTGGGGGCGGGGCTTGTGCCGCCGTCGCCGTCGCCGCGGCTCCGCCTAAGCTCCGCCGCCAGCTGGTTGGCGAGCACCTGGCTCTGCCGCAGCGCCTCCTCCAGGCAGCCTGCGTCCAGCGGCTCGTCGCCTCCCGGCAGCGGCTCGTCGGCGCCCGCTGGCGGCGGCAGCCCATCCATGAGGCGTGCGGGGTCCAGGGCGTGGCTGAACAGGTGCTCCCTCAGGTCCTCCGGCGAGGAGCAGCGCTCCCCGCAGCGCGGGCACTGCAGCAGCAGGGGGCGCCCTTTGAACAGCGGGCTGCCGCCCTGCGGGGCCCCGTCCTCCGCCTCGCCGTCCTCCTCCTCCACCCGCTCCTGCTTGATGCGGCTGGAGACGTTCGAGTCGTCCGCCGACGTCACAGAGCAGATGTTGCGCAGCGCCGCCTGCTGGTGGTCCTGTGGGACGGCGTCCAATCCCACGGCAAGGGACAGCTGGGACCGCGGCTCTGGGGCCGCCCGGGACGCCGCGGCGGCCTTTGGGACACCCGGCGTGTCTTTGCTGGCCAGCTGGGAGGAGATCTGGATGCCATACAGGTTGGACATGCGGACGCCGTCGGTGGTGGCGTCGGCGGCGGCGTCGCCCGGCTTGCGGCACAGCTGGTAGGCGTGCAGGAACTTGATGCCGTCCTGCAGCCGGCTCTGGTCCACCGGCTGCTTGGGACACATCCCGGTGTACATGATGTGCAGCAGGTAGCTGAAGACGTCCGGCTGGATGTCGGTGGGCTGGATCTTTATACATTCACTGAGGAGGCAGGAGGTCAGAGGTCACCACAGGATCTAAAACAATACATCAGCTAAAATCTGACATCATCTGGATTAAATAAACCTGAATTATCACATCAAAATACACTAACAGACCATTTATTAACATAAACTGATCAACTGGATTAACTCAGATTAACTAATCCCAATAAACTGGTCCAAATCCAAATTCATAATTATAACTCAGGCCAAAATCTAAATCAGGATCAGCTGTGAACAGAGATCATTGATCCTAATCCATGAATCTATAATCCATCAAAACTCCAAAGTCAATCATTTATCATCCGATTAACCATCAGTTTGTTCATCCTCAGGTGTTTTACCTGGACTGGTGGATGAAGATCATCTTGAAGTAGTTGGAGAAAGCGGCCAGAACGGCGCGGTGCGCCTTGAAGTACACGTTACCGATGGCAACGGTGCAGTCGCACAGGAAGCCGAACTCTCTCTGCACGTTGAGCTGCTGCAGCAGGACGAGGCTGTGGGACGACACCTCCATGGCCCGCCTGGAAACCAGAACCGGGTCAGAACCCGACCCAGACCACCCACACAGAACCTTCTACTTTCATCTTTCAACGTTTTACTTTCTGCAATGATGTGCCACCATGGTAACGAGGTATCATTTTTATGACTGATTAGAATCTTAAAAGCTCAAATATTACCTGAACTTTGACCCCTAAACAGCCAGACGGTTTGAAAGAGCAGCAAAAGCAAAGGAGCTGGATTAGCAGAACTAATCCCAATCAGTATAAACTGGTCCAAATCCAGATTAAAAATCATCACAGTCATGTGACCATCATACAGCAACAGTCTTCAGTCAGAGGCCTCCTCAGACGCGTTGCAGCACTGACTGCAGCTGGAGCATTCTAATCCATAACGACTCAATGAAGACACTTTGATGGCATCAGTTATGGAAACATTTCATTTTATTGTATTTATGAAATTTCAGCTTTAAATTTAAGTCAAATTCTTAAAATTAAAGAGATCAGAAGAATTTATTTATTCAACATGATTTCTGTATTTTGTCTCTTTTTAATAATTATTTATATAATTAATTATTAAATAATTAATTAAAGCAATAATTAAATAATTAATTGTAATAATAATTAATTATTTAATATGTAAGTGTGAATAATTAAATTCACACTTTGTGTTCCAATACTGGGAACACTGGGAATACTGAGAACACTGGAAATACTGGGAACACTGGGACCAGCTCCGGTACCAGACGGTTCTTTGAACAGCCGACTCTCCTGCAGAACCTCCATCAAACTGATCTGTCCTCTAAAACCTGAGAAAGCCTGAGTTTTATTTTGAAGGGCCAACATGTTGGGCCTCGGATTTCTTTGCATCGCCTCTGGACCGTTTCCAGCATCCGTAACCATGGTAACGGGCAGCTTCCTGAGGTTTCCGGCCCCTGTTGTCCGTCTCTGATCTGTTTGTGAACACACACCTGGACACACACCTGGACACACACCTGGCTGCTGGGCGTCTGAGCCAGACGTGCACGCGCAGAACCCGAGCGCAAATGGCCCCGCCCACCTCTAAAACCCAGGTCTGACCAGCTGGACATGTGACCTCCGATTGAAGGTCACCCGCAGGATGCCAGCGCACACGCGCAGAGGAAGAGGAGCAGGATGAAGATCGAGGGTGACCATAGCCGGCGCGCGTGCACGCCGCGTCGCGCCCGTCAGGCTGCAGCCTCCATCCATCCATCCCGCTCTCCTCCACACACACACACACACACACACACACACACACACACACACACACACACACACACACACACACACACATACACACACACACACACACACACACACACACACACACACGTCCCCACCAGCAACACCGCGCAAACACAGGCGCGCGAGCACGCGCCCCGAGCCCCGCACACGCGCTCGGTCGGCGCTTGTCGCGCACGCGCCGGATTAATCAGCCTCTTACCGCAGAAACGAGCAGATTGTCTTCAGGAGCCGATTTGCAGCTACAGACGTGATCTCGCGAAGAGTCGCGTCACGTCTCGCGAGAGAACGGATCAAAAGGGCTCCCTGGTCACGTGAACTCACTGGGAAGCCAAATAAATCCTTATCAATAATCAATAATCATCCTAAGCAAAGAGTCCGACAAAACGACAAAGATTTTTATTTAATTTTAAGGTTAAAACCTTGAAAACACTAAAATAACTGAGGCAATAAATCTTATTATCATTATTGTTAATATTATTTCTGCAGTTGGAACCAGAGATTGTTTTCAGGGTGATATGGAAGTCTAGAAATGCATAATAATAATAATAATAATAGTAATAATAATAATAATAATTTATATAAATAAATAAAAATAATGGAAATACTAGAACCATCCAGAAACAACTTTTTCAAAATAAGAAAGTGTTTTTAGTAATTGTCCTAGTTAAATAAAGATAAAATTAAGAAATACTCAGTTAGATGGAGACCAGCTGGTGTCTTTGCTCTAAAGGACTGAAATCAGGAGCTTTTGATCCAAACTCCAGCAGCAGCTCCAGCCTTTACAGCAGGGATATTTGACAGCAGCCAACCTATGAAGCACGGTGGTGGCAGCATCATTCTGTGAAGCACGGTGGTGGCAGCATCATTCTGTAGCTGTCCATCCAACCTGAAAACCTGAAGAATGAAATCAGGTGAAGCAGATTCAACCACTCATCGCTGCTCAAGGTGTGAATACTTTTTTATTAGCTGCAACATATTAAGACCCCTGGAAAATGTAGGTGTGAATTATTTTTCTATCATTAATAAAACATTTGCTCTGACTAGGAGATAAAGATTAGGGTGATGGTAAGGAGGCTTTTTGTCATAGGGGATCTCCTGTAGAGGTCTGTGTTGCAGCAGAACTATAAGCCTCTGACTGAAAACAACTAACACTCCCGGCTGTGGGACACAGCCAGTCCTCTTATAAAACAAGACAATAAATCAATAAAGAGGGATTTGTTTTTTCTAAAATACTTTTATAAATAAATGTTTTGCTTTTCCATTCAACAATTTTTAACAAAGATAGGATTTAAACTCATGATGGGTTCTAAACTTCAGAGTAAAACAGCCTCAGAGTTTGCTTCTGCCTCTGGCCGGCTCGGCTTGCTAATGACGTTAGCAGCTAGCACAGAGAGAGAAACGGAGAACCGGATGTGTTTTATTTTGACACTCTTCAGTGACGTTGCGGCAGTCAGTGCGGAAGTTCTGTCATCCTGCTGGAGGAGGGAAAGGAGAGGCGCCGCTTCGTCTCAACTTTCCGCCCGAAACGCCACAACCTGCCCCGGCAGGAAAAAGCTCCGTCTCCCCGGGAACCGCAGCCCCTCCGCCGCCGACAAACGCAGCTCCTCCGCGGGCCTCCGGCAGACTTCAGGTGAGTTAACGACCTCCTGGCCGGTCCGCGAAGCTGCCTTCGCGGCTACAGCGGAGGGAAAACGGCCTGCTGCCGAGTGCGGTGGCAGTGCGGGGGTGGCGGGTCGTTTGCGGGAGAGATGTGGCTCTGTAGCGCCGCTGTCTGCGTTCAGTCAGGTCGTATCCGGGACGGATTTTCAAAATAAGTGTTGCTTAAGAATGTAAAAAAAATTTTAAAAAATGAGAGAGAGAAAAGAGAATTTCGTAAATATAATGTTTTAAATCAATTAGGCTATATAAAATACAATAAAGTGTAAAATATTTGTTTTAATGCATTTCATTTATTTTAATAAGGTAGTGTAATTAATTTATACATTTAACTGAATTATAACTGTAGTATAAAGTATAAATCTAAATGTTGTTTTAGAACTTTATACGTTTCAGAAACACTTTTTCTAAAACTATGTGTTGTTTTCTGACTGCTATCATATATTCCTCCAGGCTGTGAACCATGTAAAAACATTTTCTATATTCATGTACACTAGAAAGAATTAAAATGTTTCCCAAATGTATTTCATATAATCTGTTTTATTAAAATGCTTTCATTAAGAGCATAATGGAACTAAGTTGAAAAAAGCTTATTTTGATTTTATGACCTAAATACCCACCAAAAATATAATCGTAACTAATGCATGTATTTAAAGTTTTATATGTAAGTATTGTTTTATTTCTATATTTTATTTGCTGATATATTGTGTTACTTTGTTCATTCTAGTTGTTTCTTACAGATAAATATTGCATAAACATTTGAACATGGATGATGAAAAGCTAATACTTTTTGCTGTGGTGCCTCTTGGTGCTAACCTCAGATCAGAACTGCGTGTTGCTCTTTATGATCTTTTACTTTGAAAGTCCCACTTCGGTAACATCCGGTGCAGGCTAGGCTAACACCGAGTAGCTTCCCGCAGCTAGTTACGGATCTCCATTTTAGCTTCGGAGCGCCGCCTGCCTCTCGAAGCTGTCCGACCCCGAACGCAGCCCGTCCTCGCCTCGCGGTGCGTGGAGCTGACAGCCGGTAAGTGCGTGGCGGCTCCCGCAGTAGTTCTGCGGTCGTGGGGGAGTCGTGTGGGCTGAAGAAGCTCCAGGAGGCTGAATGACGTCCCGTTTCTCTGTTTTTATCACGGAGTTCGGAGGCGAAGGAGGCAGAACTTTGTCCAAATATCTGAAAGAAGCAGGAAAACATGTTTTAAAATGATCAAATAAAGCTGATTATTGTTCTAAAGGTAACGGTATGGACCATCTTCTCGGTGGGTTGGTCCAAACGTCTCGGAGAACCAGCCACAGATTTAATGTAGCTGTTGTCTCTCATGTGATCCAGAACCGCATCATTCCGTCCAGAACTTCTTGTTCCTCTGCGGTCATCGTGATGAGGACATCCTGCCTTCCTGCAGGATAAATTTCTGCTTTCCGTCATTTGGACCAGAACCTCCAGTTTCATTAGAGCCTCAGTCCTTCCAGAACCTCCAGGTTCTGCAGCTGTTCTGTGGACTCTGGTTCTGATCTCTCAGGCTTCGTTTCCATTTCGCCTTTTCTTTATAAAACTCTGCTTTTATGCAAATTAAATCAAACAAATAGTTCCTCATGTTTGCAGTAGATGGTGCTACCAGGGATAAACATCCAATGAATCTGCTGCACAAACCTGAGAGTTTTCCTCTGAACATCGACTTTGACTAGGCCATTCTAACCCAGGAATCTGCTTTGATCTAGACCAGGCTCCTACGGTTTTAAATATGTGTGTAACAAATGCGAGTTTTAGTCATTATTCATGCAATAATTGCATTGAATTAGAATCGGTTGGATTGAGAACCAGAGCTGCAACATTTGCTCCACTTTCAGCTGAAAATGTCAAAACCCTACAGAAGAAAAGTTTGAAAACCTTAAAATAATTTAAAGATTTTGTTATTTAACAACAAAACATTTATTGTAGGAGATATTGCATAAAAAATGTGTGTTCAGGGTTGTGTGTGGCATCAATGTTGAAGTTGAGTTGCTAAATATTGAACTGGATTTTTTTTTCAAGGTATCAGAGTAAAGGGGGTTCTCCCACAGATCAGCCGCAAGTGTGGGAAAAGTCAAAGGTCATGAAAACTTCTGCAATATGCAGGGATCTGCATATTGCAAACATGATTTATTCGGATTACTGAGAGATGTCTCACTCTGTCATTCCAGCCACATGGTCCTTCATAGCTGGTTTGTGTCGGTAAGAGGTCTCACTCTGACCGGCTCGGAGGAGCCTCGTATGAATCTGCTTTGTGCAGCAGAAGTTGGTTTCCTGCCCTGAAGCGGCGCTGGAAACCCCCCAGCAGCCTGCTGTGATGACTCGGGTTGAATGTTGCTGAGTCACTGCGGGACTCTTCAGGCGTTAACCTGAGTTCCTGTCGTCTCCAGGGCGATGGCGAGGCCGAGCCACAGCGATCACGTCCTCCAGCAGCTCAACAACCAGCGGGAGTGGGGCTTCCTGTGCGACTGCCTCATCGCCATCGGCGACATCTACTTCAGGGCCCACAAGGCCGTGCTGGCAGCCTGCAGCTCCTACTTCCGGATGATGTTCATCCGCGACCAGCAGGGGGCGGGCCACCTGGACCTCAGCAACATGCAGATCAGCGCCGAGTGCTTCGACCTCATCCTGCAGCTCATGTACCTCGGCCGCATCATGGTGGGCAGCTACGAGTTCGAGGAGCTGAAGGCGTCCATGTCCTACCTGCAGATGTACTACATCCCCGACTCGCTGGAGGACCTCCGAGACATCCGCAGCTCCAACCTCACCCCGTCTTCCTCTGCCTCTTCCTCCTCCTCCTCTTCCTCCAGCTCCTCCACCGGCGTCTCTGGAGGGAAGATGATGTTTGGAGTGCGGATGTACGAGCAGCAGAGGTCCACGGCCCCAGAGGCGGAGCTTCTGCCGAAGGCGTCGACCAGCAGCAGTGCAGGGCGCCCTGCTGTTCCCGTAGCGGCCAGCAGGGCGGCGCAGGCAGTAGTTGTGCCAGCGGAGGAGGTGGCTAGCACACCTTTGATTGTGGCTCCGCCCACAGCGGACAGCGGTGCAGAGCAGCCATGTGACCTGAGAAAGCGACCCGGCGGCAGAAGTTCTGCTCTCAAAGACCGGCCCAGATTCGGCCGCACCTACACCTGCGACGACTGCGGCTTCGTCTTCAGCTGCGAGAAGCTGCTGATCGAGCACATCCTGACCTGCACCAACAGGAAGGCCTACCACCCGCCCCGAGGGAACGCCGAGGGCGACAACAGCTCCAGCAAGGGGGAGAGCTCCGCCTCCGACAGCGCCGAGGAGCAGAGGGTCGTCTGTAAGGGCGAGGACGACTGGGCCGACGGCCGGGCCGACTCGGATCCGCCCGTCAGGTCGCTGGCGGCCGACAGCGAGCCCGGCTCCACCCGCAGCATCAAAGCGGAACCGGAGGAAGGCCTGTTCCCCGAGATCGAGATGGTGCAGGTGGGCGAGCACGCAGCCAGAGACTCGCTGAGGGAGAGGATGGGTTTGACCCGCGAGTCGGAGCCGGGAGTGTCAGGTCTGGAGAGCTGCGGCGAGTCGGCTGAAGGTCACCTGCCGAGCAGCAGCGACTCCGGGATCCCCGCCAAACTCCGCAAGGTCAAGGATGAGAAGCAGGAAGCCGACTGCGCTCCCTGCGAACTCTGCGGCGCTCTTCTGACTGAGGAGGACAAGTCCTCACACTACCTGTCCAACCACATGGGCCACATATGCGCCTGCGGGCGTTGCGGCCAGGTTCTCATCAAAGGCCGGCAGCTGCAGGAACACGCCGAGCGCTGCGGCGAGTCCCACGGCGCCGAGTCGGACTCCCACGGGGAGGATGAGCTGTCGCTGCTGGGGGAGCCTCAGGGGATGGACGAGGGTCTGCTGGACGCCGCCGACCTGGCCTGCCCTCACTGCGGCCTGCTGTTCCAGAACGAGAGCCTGGCGCTGGAGCACGCCTTGACGTGTCACGATCAGGACTTGTTTCGGCCCGTGGCGCTGGAGGAGGGCGGGGAGCCCGACCACCGCCGCAAACACTTCTGCAGCATCTGCGGCAAAGGCTTCTACCAGCGCTGCCACCTGCGGGAGCACTACACCGTCCACACCAAGGAGAAGCAGTTCACCTGCCAGACCTGCGGCAAGCAGTTCCTGCGGGAGCGCCAGCTGCGGCTGCACACCGACATGCACAAGGGCATGGCGCGCTACGTGTGTCCCGTCTGCGACCAGGGAACCTTCCTGAAGCACGACCACGTCCGACACATGATCTCCCACCTGTCGGCCGGAGAAACCATCTGCCAGGTGTGCTTCCAGATCTTCCCAGGCGGCGAGCAGCTGGAGAAGCACATGGACGTCCACCTGTACATCTGTGGCGTCTGCGGGGAGAAGTTCCGGCTCCGCAAAGACATGAGGAGCCATTACAACTCCAAGCACACCAAGAGACTGTAAGGCGTCTGAGGCGTCTGCAGCGTCTGCAGTGTCTGCAGGGTCTGGGGCGTCTGCAGGGTCTGCGGCGTCTGCAGGGTCTGAGGCGTCTGCAGGGTCTGGGGCGTCTGCAGGGTCTGAGGCGTCTGCAGGGTCTGAGGCGTCTGCAGGGTCTGGGGCGTCTGCAGGGTCTGAGCCGTCTGCAGGGTCTGCGGCTTCTGCAGGGTCTGAGGCGTCTGCGGGGTCTGCAGGGTCTGGGCGTCTGCAGGGTCTGGGGCGTCTGCAGGGTCTGGGGCGTCTGCAGGGTCTGAGCCGTCTGCAGGGTCTGCGGCGTCTGCAGGGTCTGCGGCGTCTGCAGGGTCTGCAGCAACTTCCAGAGTCTGTGGTCTCTGCAGCTCCTGCTCTTTGAAGCCATAAATGTGAGAACAAATCAAGCACTTGAACACCAAAAAGTTGACTTTGAATCTGCACTTTGAAGCTTAATGCAGAACCTGAACAGGTGTTCAGACTGCGAGCAGCGAGGCTGGTGATTGGTCGCTTCAGATCATTAAGAGGAAGGGTCGCGCTGCTGAAACCGACCCGGTTCAGATGTTTAGTTCTGTTAGAACCGGGAGAAAACGTCCTAAATGTAGCGGGTTGTAGAACCGGGCCGGAACAGTCTGATGGCGTCGCTCGCAGTTTGAACTCCAGCTCCGGGTTTTAACTCCCGCAGCCAGAACGGTTCTGATCGGTCCACCTGTGAGGAGCCTCTCAGGTGAGGTCACTTCCTGTTTCAGAGCTCGGACTTTTTGATTCCATTTTTAGCCTTGATACCGACCCGTTCTCCAGAATACTAAAAGTTTCTGCAGAGGTTTGGGTTTCAGGTTCTGGTTCTTATTCTCTGTGTGCCTTTGCTGTCGTATCAGAACTCCAAGAAGAAAACACTAGAACCAGTTGGTCAGAACCGGCCCAACTGGTCTGATCTGGGACTGCGATGCCTTACCAGCTTCATCTTCATCACTTCCTGCACAGAACCAGAACCGGTCCCTACACTGACCAACAGAACCAACTCAAACCGGTTAAAACCAGACAGTCTGATTAAAACCAGGTTGGGTCAGAACCGAGCCCAGGACCAGCAGGTTCTGTCGGTCCAGATGGTTCCGATGAGGCTCCGGCATATTGTCAGACTCAAGTAAAGATCAGAACCTGGTGGTTCTGACCCAGAGCGGTCCGGGGGCCATTTGTGGCCCAGAACCGTTTCCAGAACAACAAAAATTTGACCAAAGAGAAAAAATTCAGTATAAAAAGCATCTTATTAGCTTCTTAATATCGTCAATATTTAATTTTAGTGTAAATAATATAAACTTTTAGGGTTTTGAGTCAAAATTGTGTTCGACCCGTTTTCTGGTTCTGTTGATACACAAGTTAGATAGAAAACGATGGAAAAAATGTAATTAATTGAAGAAACTATTTCTAATAAATCATATAGTTTAATGATTTCATTCAATAATTTTATTTATTTAAAATCTTAATCTAAATAGAAAATTATATTTTAATTAAATGTAAAATTGAATATTGTGACTCCAAATACTTTTAAGTTGCTAAAAGTTTGAACTGAATCGTAATAATTTATCTTAATAATAAAAATGCACTGATATAAAAATATTATATTAATTTTCTTCCCTCCATGTTGCTTCTCTGCTTCAGTTGAATACCCACAATCCTTTGCTGCATCACCATCGGTCACATGACCAGATGCATGAAGCTCCGCCCCTTTTACAAACAAATGGCAACAAAATGGAGATAAATATCAGTTATCGCCCCAAACTATTAATCCATATTATTGCTGCACCTGTTAAATTATTATTGATTATTTTATCACTTAAAATATTTTGTGTTTTAATTATTGAGGGATCGTTTCTATGGTAACAAGGCTGATCAGGCATCTAGCCCAGTGGACCTGAACCGGGTCCAGACCCATCGGAGTCATCTTCATGGTCCGGTCGGTTCTGGTCGGTTCTACCTGATGGGCCGAAACCAGACGGCAGATATTTAATCTGGTTCTGTGAACCCAGTAACCGGGAGTTTCACATGCAGAACTGTTGGTCTGGTTCTGGGTCCATTTTCTCTGGTTTTTCCTTCCTGCCAGGCTGGAGGTCAGAGGTCGTTATAGCGACCTCTGACCTCCAGACGAAAAAATCGGCACCAATTTTAGTAAGACTTTATTTTTAAAATCAAACGAGTTGAAGTTGATTTCTGCTGCAGGTTCTGGTTTTGGGTCTGATCCGCTGGTTCTGTTGCGGTTCCGGGTCCAGTTTCACGGTCTGTTCTGGTCACACAGGCCTGGTTCTGCTCTCAATAAACCAAGTGATCTTCTGTTTCAAGCTGCAGTGTTGGCTGGTTTGTTTGAAAAGTCTCATCGTCTTCATCAAAAATCACATTTTTCTAAAGGAAAATATCAAATATTTAAAAAAAATATTTCCACATTAATTTACAAGAAATTTGAAACAGAAAATATGAAATAAATATTTCCTGTTTAACTTAAAAATGTTATTTTCCATGAGTATTTTCTTAAATGTAATGGTAGTTTATATGAACTGGGCTTTGGGTCCAGTGGGTTTCTGTAAATCTCCAAGCCATTGATCTGGAGCTTATACTGTCCTATGGCGCCCCCTGCAGGCCATGAGGGGCATTTTCATCTATATTGCCCTATGGCGCCCCCTGCAGGCCATGAGGGGCATTTTCATCTATATTGCCCTATGGCGCCCCCTGCAGGCCATGAGGAACATTTTCATTCTTATCTCAGAAGAAATTCATCCTCTGGCAAAAAATTAGCAAAGAGACCCTGGTCTATTTTGTAGAAAGACAAAAGGAGTAAATTTCAGACAAAAAGTATGAAAGTTTCATCTTAATCTCAGATGTTTTCTAAATAATTCCTGAGTTTGAAAAGCCAAATTTGCTGGGAAAAAAACTAAAATTTTTAGATTATTTTCAGACATTTTCTATAAAAAAAATGGGGACATTTCTGAGCTGTAAAACTAAAAAGACAAACAAATAAAGAACTTTGAAAAATGTTATTTGAAGATAATTCTCAGAAAAATTCTAGAAAAAATAAGGACATTTCTCAATTTCAAGTTGAAAATTTTCCAGAAAAAAATTTTGAAAATTAAAAAAAAATGGCAAATGTTTGAGTTTGACTGCAAGGGACTGAATGATGTGAATTAGCTGTTATTATAACAATCTGATATGGCAACATTTATGTTGGAGTTTTTTTTAAATGGTTAATTATCATCAAAAGAAAAAATAAATTGACCTTTCAAACTCAAACTTTTTTCTAGAAAATGTCTGAGTTTGAAAGGCCAATATTTCTCTGTTCATCTTTCTATGAGGTCTAAAATCAGACACACTTCCTGTTTCTACCTGAGAGGTCAAAGGGTCACCAGCTGATGAAGCAGCTTTAATCCAGGAGATGCTGGATGATCCATTTTGATGGGATTAATCTGAGCTGATCTCCAATCAGCCAGAAACCTCGTTATGCTGATGGGCCGATGTGCCGATCGGGACACGACCCGAAAAAACATTCGAATCCAGTAAAACTCAGAAAACATGACGACATAGTTCTGCATCTCAGCACTTTGTCTGGAAGGCAAAAGCTGCCAAATTTATCCATCAACTATGAGGAGGCCAAAACTTCTGCTTCCTTTCCTCACAGACACTTTGGACTTTATTTCTTTGACTCATTTTGACAAAATGACACACAAGGATTTGATTTTCAACATGTGACATTCACTGCAGATTTTCCTCAGATTTGATTAAAGTTTTATATTTTGTTTAGCAAACATTAAAAATTGGCACTGATGTTTTTTTTATTTTCTGCCTGATTTTATTTTTCATCCAAACTCATTAAAAAGCCATAAAAACATATTTGTTTTCTAACGGGAATAATAAAGACAGAAATTAAATTATAATAGTTTTATTTAGAAATCCAAACTTAGACTAAAGGAAAAGAAGAAAAATTAAAATTATCCAAACCGATTTTAATTTGTCAGATTTGCACCAGCAAAGCCAAACTTCTGCTTCAATAACGGAGGAATATGGATAAAAAGGCTGATTTGTTCCATTTTGTTTTACACTATTTTAAATTGTAATCAATTTATGTTTCGATTTAATTTCTCCTCTTCTTTTAACGATTTAAATGTAGTTAATAATCTATGTCAAATTATGTAATTCAATTAAAAAATACTGTATTTATTCCAAAGAAAAATTAAATAAAACTTGGATCAATGATGCTGTGGTCAGGACAGAGCTCCAGTAGCAGTCAGCGTTGCAGGAATCAGAGGAGGCCTCTGACTGAAAGCAGATCCACAGTAAAATGTCCTGGATGACATCATCAGCTCTGCTAATCCACCTCTTTTGCTTTTGCCTCTCGTCTGTATGACTCTGGCTGTTGCTTTAGAGATGCTGGAGTAGGGGATCGTTTCTGCTCTGCAGCCATCAAACCTTTTTTTCATCTCTGGGACTGTTTGGGTCTGATTTTGATTTTACTAAAGTGAGTCAAAGGAAAATGACTGAAAACAACCTTTTTGTTTGACAAACACTGAAACTGCAGTGTTTGAGTTGTGAATTATTCAGACTCTCCACGGCGGTTCAGAGGCTGTTGGTGTTTTTTACCTGGAGAACTTTCTGTTCCCTTCAAGTCAAACTTTGACCCGGAACGTTCCAGCAAACATTTGCAACATTAGCAGCGTGTTTATTGTTGACCAAAGGGTCCGGCGGGATCCAGTCAGAAAGCTGGTATGAACGTTCAAATGAGATGGAACCGACCAATCAGAGCGGAGCGTGGACAGGCGGCAGATTAATGAAAAAAATCAGATCAGCAGCCGTAATCTGATGATCCTGGGAACAAAAGCACAAATCAAACTGGTTTATGGTCAAGTCCAAGTCTTTAGGTGTCGCTTTTCAAGCAGCAAGTGGGAAACGTAAATACTGGAGGTTTTAATGTCGCTCAGTTCCTGGCACTAAAGTTTATTAGTTAGTTTTAGATTTGAAGGTTTTTCTTTCTTTAACTCAAATCTAACAGTTTTAACTCTGATTTGGCAAAACAAAAAGAAAGAATATGGCTTTTATTGAGATAAGAAGCAGCATCTTAAAATCCAAAACTAATTTTTGCTGCTAAATTTTTGAATAAATGTGACCTCAAATAGCTATTTGTATAGTGTTAAATCTGTTATTATAGCCCTAATAGAGCCTAGATATAGAAGTCAACTGTGGGCACTTATGTTAGCGGTAGCTGCTACATGTTTAGCACTGAGATGCTAATTTAGGTTCTGGGAGGAACTTTTGAAAGAAACACGTTAAAATTCATGTAATTAATTTATTCCGTGGATTTGTACTAAAATTCAAATTTTAGTTTGGATTTTATTTAATTTCATATGTTTGCATTTAGGAATATCAGTGAGAGAGAGATGGTGGAATTAGAAAGTTTAATTGGCAATGAGAGTCTTTGACGCTCCGACCTGCAGGGAGACTCGGTGCTGACAGAGCCGCTGTGTGAAGATTAGCACCTAATCCTAATCTGAAGCCATTCAGAGTAACTTCAGCAATTTGGATGAAAGTATCACTTTAATTTAAAAGATAAATTTCGACCTTGTGTTGTCCAGATTTCTGCAGATCTGCTCTGATTTCCTGTGTTTTTGCTCAGTTGAAGTTTTCATCCAGTTTAATTTGATCAGAGGTTGAACCTTCAGCAAACGACGATCCGATGGCCGATCAGGAAGGTTCATCTAGAGCAAACAGAACATTTAATCAGTCCACAGTTCAGATGTGGACACAGAGGCCCGTTTCAGACCTTATGCAATCGATTAGAGCGTTGACCTTTAGGCCTCATGAGGACAGGTTAGCACACTGAGTACATGACGAACCATCTGCTTTATCTCATTAGCAAACAATCACAGATCAAAACAAACAAATATTTCACTAATTTGCTGGATGCCAGACATTTTTATGGTTATTGAATATTCTTTGAATATTTTTGTTCCTCTGGAGACCAAAGATATAAATGTTCACAACCTGGGCTTTAAATAATTAGCATTTAGTGAAGGAAAAACTAAATGTGACACTAGATTAATGTTCAACCAGATGGAAAAAAAGAAATTCATCATTTTGATGTTTTTAATCTCTCTTGGTCTTTGGTTGAACTAAATACAAATTCTAGTTAAGTTAGTTTTTTACCTAAACACTCAAAATAATCTAAATAATAGATTTGAATCAGGAAAAGTTGGAAATTTACAAAAAGCAGGAAATTCATCCTGCAGACATGAAAAAACCTGAACAATAAAGATCTGCAGCATTTCTGACGAGTTCCTGGTGCAAATATCTCAGCACAGCTGAAACAAGACAAAACTTACTAAATAGAAGCTTGTTGTAAATAAATACTGATTTTAAAAACCTGATACTCTGATCTCTGCCAAATCCAGCTACTTTATAACAAAGTAAAAGTCCACTTTATTGTCAATGTATCATATTTATGAAACACACAAGGAATGAAAACTACATTCCTCACAACAAAGTCAGAGACCAGCACAAGCTGCAGGCACTGAGACAACCAACCAAATTCACACAATAATGACATTTAGACACTTTGTCAGCTAAAACTTTGAGTTCTGGTGTCCAGAGAATATCATGCAGATCCTATAATTGTTCAGGCAATGATTATAACATGAAACATTGCAGTAACATTCTGTTCAGATTTAACCAGGCTGTTGTTTCTCTGCTTGGTTGGATCAGAAGCTCTGAAAGCGGCGGCTAAATGCAGCGGCTCCATGCGGCAGCTCCATGCAGCGGCTCCATGCAGCGGCTAAATGCAGCGGCTCCTATGCAGCGGCTCCATGCAGCGGCTAAATGCGGCGGCTCCATGCAGCGGCTCCATGCAGCGGCTAAATGCAGCGGCTCCTATGCAGCGGCTAAATGCGGCGGCTAAATGCGGCAGCTCAATGCGGCGGCTCCATGCAGCGGCTCCTATGCGGCGGCTCCTATGCGGCGGCTCCATGCGGCGGCTCCTATGCGGCGGCTCCATGCGGCGGCTAAATGCGGCGGCTCCATGCGGCGGCTAAATGCAGCGGCTCCATGCAGCGGGTCCATGTAGCGGCTCCATACAGCGGCTAAATGCAGCGGCTCCTATGCAGCGGCTCCTATGCAGCCGCTCCATGCGGCGGCTCCATGCAGTAGCTAAATGCGGCGGCTCCATGCAGCGGCTAAATGCGGCGGCTCCATGCAGCGGCTAAATGCAGCGGCTCCATGCAGCGGCTAAATGCGGCGGCTCCATGCGGCGGCTCCATGCAGCGGCTAAATGCGGCGGCTCCATGCGGCGGCGGCTCCATGCGGC